ACTCTTTCTTTTAACATTGGTCAGTCATAATTAGTTATGTCTCTTGATACTGGCTCATTGTAGTGGAGAGGAGACACAAGCGTGCTTATATGTGGTAGCTTTTTGTGGAAAGTGAGGGTGTTGCAGGAAAAAGAAAGAACTGTAGTTGTATTGCCATCTGGTAAGATGTTACATTTTTGGACAAATGATACTATATTTGAGACACAGTATTATCCACCTAACGCTTTCCTTGCTTTCTGTTGAAAAGAGTGGTGGAAAAGCTTATGGGAAGTGCTTAGTAGACTTTTTCATATTGAAAATTTTACATAAACTTCAGAAGCTCTGCGAAGCATAAAAATTAACAGTAATTGAACAAATTAAATTATAAATTCATCTGTTCAATCACAAGTCCCAGACAGTATTTTTCTTCCAAATTAAATTGCAGCATGAGATGAAAAGTTGCATTTGAATTCTCCCTTCCTTTGCTCTTGGAAAATGGTGTGGTGCTGGAGACGATCTGTTCTTTACTATATTGGAAAACTCTTAATGCTATAAAAGAGCAGCGTCCTTTATTTCCATTAGCTTTGGGGCAGTGGGAGCTATAAGGGGATTTTGTTTATTAATTAGTTACTTCCTGTTGTGGTGTTTCAAGTGGTGTTTTATTATTTAACATACAAAATTGTGTATGTTTTCTAGAAATGAGTTTGTGCATCTGTGTCAAGTATAGAATGAAGGACAGGGAAAGGAGTTTTCAGGGTGTTTGCAGAAGTTTTTCTGTGGAATGCAGTCGGACGTCTTGTTCTCAGTGTTTTCTGGAGAATAGTATTTAATGACAAAAAATATGCTTTCCTCTCAGGAATAGTTGTAGCATCTTGGCAATAAAGTAAAATTAAATTAGCTTAAAAAATACCATTTGTAAGTTGTGGTGATGTGAAAAGTAGCAAAATAAAACTGGAAATAAGTTGAATTTCCTCCTACTTGTATTTCACATTAGCCATTCCAGTTACATATTGTTGTTTAGCATACATTGTCAAAAGTTGCAAATGTCTTCTAGCTATAAAGGGAAGAAAAAACTATAACCCATTAATACTTTTTTTTTCTTTGAAGATGTGGATTTACATTCACATTGTGTTCATCATAGAGTCAAAACCTCAGCAGCATACAGATTGGAGCATATCTTTAGTTTTTCCCCATGTGAGTGGTCACAAAAGCAGGATTGGCACCAGCAAAAAAGTTTATGACAAAAATAGAAGCATGCATAGTATCTAAGAAAATCATGTATTTGTGAATACACCTTCCACTGGAATTATTTTTCTTCTCTCCTCTTTAACTAGGAATTTACACTACACAACACTCGAACGAGCATTCATTAAAGTTGTCACTACAATTTTATTTCCTTAACATTACAGACAAATAGATAAATTAAAAGTTTTAATTGTCTAATCCAATACATGCCTTTTACACGTCTTGAAATAAAAGGTTTGATGAACTTTGGGGTTTCTGAAAGAATTAATGTTTGCTGGACTCCAACTACAGTGTTTGCCAAGTCGAAGTAAACCAACACTAATGTGTTCTGAGATCCAAGTGGAATCTAAACAATTTTTATTCCACTGCAGTGGCTTCTACTATGTTTTTCTTTTATTTCAATTTATTTATGAGCATTCCACATGATACTTGTTTGGTATTGTTCAGATTTTAAGGTGTTTAAGAGTGTTGCACTTCTATTCTGTTTTAGTTAATTAGTACGTTGGCTTAACCAAATGATAGTTTAATGTAACTCTTACCTATCTGTCTCTGTACATGTAACTCTTACCCATCTATCTCTGTATATGTCGCTTGCGTTACTTATTGATGTTTCAGGCACTTAAACAATTTGTAAATTTCTTTCCTCAGAAAAAGAAGGTGTCTTTCTACAAACGGGCACAAATACTCGTGGCTGATACATGGAGTGTATTAGAAGGCAAAGGAGATGGCCTTTTTGGTGACATTTCTAGTCTAACTATATTTGCTGACTACAGAATTCCTCAAGTTCTTGTTCACTTAAAAGCAATGAAGTATTCTGAAGAACTAATGAAGAAACTACGTGAAGGTTTGTTCCTTCCTTACTGGTAGCAAGTAATCTTACCTCCTGACAGTGAAGACTAAAGCTACTTTTAAAATGTAATGTTTTGTCCATGTAAGGGTTATGTGTACTTTTTTTTTTTTCTCCAAGGAATAAGGGCTTCTTATGTGGTGATGCGGTGACAGGAAGGGACTGAGTCTCTAACATCGATCTTGAATGAGATCTTAAGGTTGCATTTTTATAAAGACATAACTGTTCCTTGGATTAAACATTGACAAGGCAAGGATTAAAGAGACCCTAAGCCAGTTGATCTCTTGAGGTTTCTGAAGGGCTGCTGTTGCCAGAAACACTTTTCAGCATGACTGTGGTTGTGATTTTTGAGGTTTAGGGAAAAAATCAACAATTTCTTCATTAGTTCAAAGATGATGTAGAAGTACAGGGATTCCTCTTTATCTGCATTTAACTGCTAGTGACAAGCAAGGTAATATTACAAGCATCCATTAAAAAAAAGAGATTGCTTTAAATGAAGTTAATAGCATGAGACTAGAGTCTCGTTTTTAAGCATGGTTCCATCTTCCAGTAGTTACTAATTATGAACTTCGGTGGATAAAAACATAAACTAATCACTTTTCTGCCATAAAATGACTGTATTTAGAGCTAGGGCTGCTTTTATGCAATTTTAAAATTACACAGCAAGATAAACAGATAAATGCAATTGTTCATGGATCTTAACAGAATGGCCATATATATATTATACATGCCTACATATATCTCTATAGATAAAATAGATCATGTAGGCAATTTATATTTTTGATGAATCCTAGTAAGGACGTTCTTATCCAAGTCATTCAAACAAATGGGTCCCTTTATATTTATATATATAGGTTTTGGTGTTGTTAGTTTGGGTTTGTTTTTTATTATTATTTTTAAATTTTAGAGCAGTCCTGGCAGAAAATAGACTGAGTGTTATGTTTCACTATCCTTTCTGTCTCTACAAGCAACGAAATAGTCATACAATGTGCAGTATAGCCCAAACACCTGTTGTTTTCTTAAACCGCTCTCTTGGAATACAGGATGTTGTTTTAATTGAATGGGAGGTAAATTTATAAGCGCACAGCAACATTGTCAGCAGTTGTAGTGTAAGTCATGAGAACTGCAGTCCTAGAATAGAATAAATGTGGAGGGCGAGGGCAAAAAAATAAGGCAAATTCAGGCCATCCTGGAGCTTGTGTCTGCTGAACATAATTGGATTGCTGTGTCTTGCGTCCCGCAGGAACAATTTTTCAGTCTGGGGATAAGGAGGAGGTGGAGATCCGTGGCTGTTCCATTTGGTGCTGTGCGCTCATCTGTAAGCACCTGCTGGAGCTCTATGAGAAGAAGGGTCAGGACATGCGCGAGAAGATCAATGCGGTTTTACTCGATTACTACCTCTGGGACTACGCCAGGGACCACAGGGAAGAGATGAAAGATATTCCGTTTCATCGAGTGCGGTGTATATATTACTAAGTCCGACCTCATGGCCGCTGTTGTATCCGCACGTTGTCTTTTCGAATTTTGCGATTTCTCTTTTCATGCAGTGCTTTGTCATAATCTAATTTGGAACTGGCAGAGTGAAATGCTGTGATGTATTAGCAGCGTGCCTTTTGTTGTTGTTGTTTTTCTTTTTTTTTTATGTTGTTTTTCTTTTTTTTTTTTTTTTTTTTTTTTTTCCCCCCTCTGGTTC